AGGCCCTTTCAGAGAATATAAAGTCTAAATCAGATATCCAGCTCCTATCAAAAAAAACCTGAGAGTCACTTCACTGCTGACCAAAAAAAAAAATAAATAAAACATTACAACTATATAAAAACATGCCTCAAAGAGAATGCCTGAGTAGGAAATCAGAAATGTCAGTAACAGCTCTATTTGGGGTTAGGGGGATTATAGCATGTAAAACATGAAAATAAAATACACAAAAATTGCAGTGGTAGGGTTATGGGTTTCTGGAGGTTTTTTAAATTTCAACAGCTTAAAAAATTATTTTTTAACTGAATAGGAATAAAGCAGTAAGCATTTTATCTTTATATAATGTTTAGATTATTGGGAAAATTAAAGTATGGCATCTCACAGTTTTCACATGGGATTACAGTCACATTGACTTATTCTCCACTAATATCAAACTGAAAGGAAATTCCGAAAAACTGCTACATACCTGATGTGTGTTGAATGAAGAAGTCTTTCTAGTGGTTCATGTCTGGCACAGCTATATAGGAGTGACTTAGGATTAGTGATAAGAACCACAGGCCACTCGCCAAAGACCAAATCTGCAAAGCTAAAGAGGTCATGATCAAAAGCAAAGATCCGGTACCTAGAGACCAGAGACAATAAGGTAATTTAGTCACTTCTATTATAAGAGGGTATGAAGGTTATATACAGAACAAATGTAAAAATATAAAACTATACTTCCTGAGATCATGAATTTATACAAAGTAAATAATATTGTTTCTCTGCCCTTCTTCCCTTGCCCCTACCGCTTTATAGTTCACGTTTATCACAAATGGAATCTTACTGAAGACATAAATTTACTGTGCCCTAGAACAATGCCTGGTACATAGCATGCACACTTTCATTTTTAAATAAATGCTTGAAAAATTAATTTGTTTGGTTTCTATACTTTAAGACTGTTTTGAATCTAAGACAGTCATCATAAGCCTAATACCTGATATTCCTCATCTCATCAAAAATGCTAATATTAACATAAACATAATCAGACATCTTTCATTCTTCTTTTAAACCTTTATTTCTATAATTTCAAAGAAATTAACAAAATTTATTTTGGTTTTCTAAATGCATGGTGAGAGGTATAAATATTCATTAAAGAATAACCAAAATTTTATATTTTCTACTTTTTGAACTGAGGAAAGAAATGATTAACTATGGCAGAAACAATAGTGCTCACCAAATACTCCACGTGCTCCCCTGCATTTCCCAGTCTCCCTGGTATTAGGCTGGGACCATGTGACTAGTTCTGGTCAATGGGCTGTAAACAGAAGTGACATGTATCACACTTCTGGTCCAAAGTACTTAAGAGTGGGTATGAGTTCTCCATGCTCTCTTCCCTGCCCTGGGATTGAGGTGTTGAGATAGTGGCATTATGAGATGAAGAAAATCTCAATCCCTGAGTCACCCCATGGAAGAGAGAGGTCCTGGCTCATACCAGATTTACATAAATAAAAAAATAAGCATCTGTTGTGTTAAGCCACTGATATTTTCCAGATTTATTTGTATCCACAACAAAGCCTAGCCTAATATTACTAATACACTTTTAAAAGCTCCTCTATTATCCTAACACAACTTAAATGTTTAAAAGGGCAGGTAAAGGTTAGGTCCTTTCAGTAAAACTCCAGATAAAACCCCAGGGGTGGAACAACAGGAGAGCAGGTGGAAAGAGAAAGAGAGGAAATGGTTTCATGACAGCACTTAACTTGTAACTATAGCATTTATAAGAAATAAAGAAGCTGATCAAGGATTAGGAAGGCTATCTAGTAAAAGGCAATCCCAGCCCAGCCCACAACCTCACAGTCATGAATAGACAGGTCTAGCTCAAAGTAATTACAGTTGCCAACTAATTTCAGGCTTCAAGCATAGCTTTTAGACAGTTTCTAGCAGAGCCAACTGAAATGAGTAAGTACCTTCCAAGATGTAAAGCTATCTTTTAATTAATGGAAGTAGTTAAAAACAGAAAGAACATATTCAGCTCAAAAAATATTTACTAACATCTTCAGAGAACTGAGTTTGAATAAATTAAATAGTAATTGATAATAGTTCAACAATGAGATGATACTCATCTATATTTAAGCTACTGTACTTAGTTATTCTCAAAATATGTATTTAGTTCTTTTTTCTCTATATATTTAACTATACTGTATGCTTTTGATAAACAGGCTGTGTTTTCTCATAGAAAGACTTTAATCTTAATAAAACCAACTATCGTGTATTTGAAGAACTGAAATCACTAACATAGTAATAACTACAAAGGTAGATATAAAATTCAGAGGGTGATACAGTTCCAGTTCTAATGTTTCTCTAAGTGTGGTCCATAGAACACCTGGTGGGCTTTAAAAAAAATGCAGGTCCGAAACCAGACCAACACAACCAAATTCTCTGGAGATAGGGCCTCCAAACTGTTATTTTTAATAAGCTCCTCCACAATCCTTGTGCACCCTAGAGTTTGAGATCTATTTCCTAATGGATGCATCTTGAAAATCCAATGTAACATAGTGATGGCAAACATAACTGTTGCAACGAGGTTTTTACACACCGACACACATAATATCTGTATCACTTTAAAAACTTAGGGAGATCATAAGTTTTTCCTTGACTGGGATCACCCATGGTAGCAATAAGAAAACTATCATTGTTTTAGCGAAACTTACACGTGTAAGTTTTATTGTGTGGGGTAGTTCCCTTACCTTCTGTTATCCTTCCAGTCTCCCACCTCAAGTTCCAAAGTGCCCTGGAGGTGACGAGTGTGCAAAACAGGCATCAGTCCACCAAGAGTATGGAGGTGCCCACACAAATACGCTGTAGCTGAACTAATCAATGAAAAACGAGCAGAATAAATGAACAGATAACTTGCAATGCCAAACTAATAAAAAGATCTCTTCAGGAGAGCAAGAGTAACATAAAAGAATTACAAGCAATTAATTTTGATTTTGGAATCCTGCCTCACCTCATTATTGACCGAATTCCAGGTGATGGAGAAAGGATAGTGGATGTTGTATAGTGACCAAACCAAATACTGTGGTTACTCCGACTACTCTCCTTGGCCAGTAACAGAAGTTCCTCCATCTGCTTCTGAAATGGCAGAAAAACACAAGGATCTTTCATTAGGGCTCAGGCTGAAATCCACAGATTAAACATCTGCCTTGAAGTTTTATAATAATAAGTATATTATGTCTAAGGCCTAAACCCTACTAATTAGTGACCTGCATGGACCTGTATAAATTTCAAACTGTTTTCATACACATTATAATTCATTTGGTCCTAAAAATAACTCTATGCTAAGTAGGGCAAGTATTATCCCCATTTGATAGAGAAGGAAACTGAGAAATAGAGAACAATCTTTAAATGACATAAATTTCTTTCTCTTTTTACAACAAAGTTCTTTATAGAAAATAAGAACCATTAATCTCTTCAGCCCTGTATACTACATTGCAATTAATAAAGAGGAACTTGAAACAAAACTTCTAAAATAAGATGTACATATGTCCACAAAAAGCCTGTACCTGAATGTTCACAACAGCTCAACTCAGAATAGCCAAAAACTAGAAACCATCAGTATATCCAAACAATGGAATGTATGTAGTGATAAAAAGGAAAGAATTACTCAAACACAATAATATGGATGAATTGTAGAAACAAATCATAGAAATATACTGGGCGGGCGCCTGGGTGGCTCAGTTGGTTAAGCGACTGCCTTCGGCTCAGGTCATGATCCTGGAGTCCCTGGATCGAGTCCCGCATCGGGCTCCCTGCTCGGCGAGGAGCCTGCTTCTCCCTCTAACCCTCCCCCCTCTCATGTACTCTCTCTCTCTCTCATTCTCGCTCTCTCAAATAAATAAATAAATCTTTAAAAAAAAAAAAAAAAAAGAAATATACTGGGCAAAAGAAGCCAGACACAAGAGTACATACTGTATGATTTCATTTACATAAAATTCTAGAAAAAAAATTAATCTATACTGACAGAAAACCCATCAGTGATTCTCGAGGATTGGGGTGAAGACTGACTACACAAGAGAACTTTCTGGGATGATAGAAATGTTCTCTCTTGATTGTGGTGACAGTTATACCAGCATATATATTTTTTGTCAAAACTCTTCAAACACTTAAAATGAGTGCATTTTATTGTATGTAAATCATCCCTCATAAAGTTGATTTCAAAAATAACTTGTACAGGGGTGCCTGGGTGGCTCAGTCGGTTAAGCAACTGCCTTCTGCTCAGGTCATGATCCCAGAGTCCTGGGATCAAGCCCCAAGTCGGGGTTCCTTGTTCAGTGCACAGCCTGCTTCTCCCTCTCCCTCTGCCCCTCCCCCCTGCCTGCACACATGCACACGTGCTCTGCCTCTCTCTCTCGCTCTCTCAAATAAATAAAATCTTTAAAAAAAAAATAACTTGTACATGTATAAATATACATTAATTATCTGTAAAGTGCTAATAGCAATGAATTCCTGGACCATACCCTCAGGGTTTCTAATTTGATAAGTCTCAGGGAAAGCCTGGGAATCTGCATTTTACAAGAGTCCAGCTGATTTTCATGAAGATGATCTTTGAATCGTATCTTAAAAAACACTGCTCTAAGGAGTAGGCTTTAAAATAATAAGTTAATAAACTCTGTCTAAAGACAGTTGGAGGATAAGAAACCAAATATACCTTCATTAAATAAATGCCTAATATAACACAATGCATTTCACAACATTTTATTCACTTGATTTCAAGGTCTTCTGAACCTTCATATCACTTTGAATCTCTTTCAGCACTTAGCAAATTCTGCCCTTTATTATAGTTATTTCTGCACTAGTCTTATGCCCCTCCACTAGATTAAATATTCTAAGAGGCGAGTGACTTGATCTTATCGCTCTTGTATTCTTCCATGCAGGCACATATGTCTTGCATGTAGGCAGGTGCTCATTAGTGATCTGACATCTGTTGTATTAAGAAATAATGAGAGGTTCTCATATGTGACTTTCCAGACAGTTTTAATCCAGCAACAGTTTTCACCTAACTTGCCTTAACAGAAATTTATTTACTTCAGTGGTTGCCCTTCTCTTATTAAAATAAATATAGTCCATTAGTTAGAAATGGCAACTATGAGGATTTAGGAATATACCATATGGTATAAAAGCTGTATGCCTTGCACCTTGCAAAGTGCATGTTGCACTTAGTATATATTTAATAAATGCTTACTGAATAAATATAAAATGTGAGGTATTTCTTCACGAGATTTGGGGACCAGAACATGGACAGCAGTGATAATGCTCAAGTAGCCAGTGATTTTTTCTAGCCATACTTGTAACCACAGTAAAATTTTTCTCAAGAATTTCTAGATAAGAACTAGTTTACCTAGGATAACCTTAAGTGAGCCACATTTATCCAAGAAAAAACAAAATAGGTTAGCTACAAAGGGAAGTGAGATTTTTACTGTACCTCATCTAAAATTCCAAAGAAATTATAGGGTCTCTTAGGCCCTGGATTTGGGGTGGCATCCAAAGAGATGAAAGAATAGTTGCCAAAGGGAGTACTGTGGACATAATGGAAAGAGCCATCCCTACGTACGGCAGAATATTTCCTAAAAAATATAAGACAGGAAAGTTTTAGTGCAATCATAAAAAAACAGAATGAGTTTAAATTCCTCCCCGTATATCACACTATATTTTGCCTCCCTTTGAAAATTTCCTAATCTGACAGAGAAATACATAAACTAATCCACAATAAGCTGATGAAAAGAGATTTTAAAGATTTTTCTTCCCATTTTCTATAAAGATTCAGGCAAACTAATTCATAAGTAACCAAACACAAGGTCACCAAGCAAAGCAGAGAAGGAGGTGGCTATTTTAGTCAGTCCACCGAACACTTAAAGAGAGATCAATCAGAATCCAGTGAAATGGTACTTATCCATCATTGAAAAATTTAGTGAGGACCTATGAAGTGCCTAGCAGAACTCTTGGTGTAACGAGATAAAAAAAGGTGTTTACATCTTGAAATAGGACTACAGAGGCTTAACTCACAATAAAGCCTTGCAAAGACGAAGTCATCAAGAAAAATGTCAGGTCTGGGTCAGTAAATGTTTTTCAGTTCCTAAAAATAAATCTGTAACCTATACAGGGTATACATTCAGTAATGAAAGTCCTTACTACCTAAGTATCAACAGTGTTCAGGTGTCTGTAAGGTTGGAGACTGAAGAACGGGGGAAAGAGGGGGTAATATAGTACACAGTGTGGGAACTCATTAGTATTTGTTGAATAAATGTGAAGGAAGGTATAGGTTGGGGACATACCTATATTACTCAAATGTCAAGACATTATAAGAAAATAGAGAAGGCACATATGGAAAAATACAAATAAACTCCTGAAACCTAATGTGCTATCAGGGAGCTATATTTAAGCCACAATAGCCATCAAATATATCATAAAATAAACACATTATCACAGATATTATAATTAAAAGTCAATTAGTTCTATTGCCCTCTTCCCAGTATTTTTTAAATTTTCTATTTTGGGGGGCACCTGGGTGGCTCAGTCAGTTAAGTGAGCAACTCTTGATTTCAGCTCAGGTCAAGATCTGAGGGTGATGGGATCCAGCCCTCCATTGGGCTTGGCACTCAGCATGGATTCTGCTTATTCCTCTCCCTCTGCTCCTCCCCCACTCGCATGTGCTCACGTGTGCACACACTCTCTCTCTCTAAAATAAATAAATAATAACAAAATCTTTTAAAAAAATAAAATTTTCTATTTTGAGGGTTTTTTTTTCCTCTCATTAAAATTTTTATTTATATTTTTCCTGCTTAATTTGTTTTCAGTTATTCTTTAGGATCTTTTTTTTTCTTTTAAGATTTTATTTATTTATTTGACAGAGAGACTGAGAGAGCACAAACAGGGGGAGCAGTACAGGGAGAGGGAGAAGCAGGCTTCCCGCCAAGCAGGGAGCCCGATGTGGGGCTCGATCCCAGGACCCTGGGATCATGACTTGAGCGGAAGGCAAACGCTTAACCATCTGAGCCACCCAGGCACCCCTCTTTAGGATCTTATAATCTCACATATATTGTTTCCTTTCCTACATTTTTAATACGTTAAAACCCATTATCTAAAAATAAACCCAACAATTTGAAAGTAGAGATTAAAATATATGATAGCTATTAACAGTTTTTGAATTCTGGATTTTGACATTCTCTGGGCCATTCTTTTTTTTTTTTTTAATATTTTATTTATTTATTTGATAGAGAGCGAGAGCAGGAACACAAGCAGGGGGAGTGGAAGAGGGAGAAGCAGGCTTCCCGCTGAGCAGGGAGCCTGATGCGGGGCTCGATCCCAGGACCCTGGGATCACGACCTGAGCCGAAGGCAGATGCTTAACGACTGAGCCACCCAGGCACCACTCTCTGGGCCATTCTTAAGATCAAGATTTAGCTTTAAGCTTTCTTGTTCAGGCTGATATATCTGTAATGTCCGTATCTCTGGCTGTTTATTAAAATGCTGTTTATTGGGGCACCTGGGTGGCTCACTCATTAAGCATCTGCCTTCAACTCAGGTCACGATCCCAGGGTCCTGGGATCAAGCCCCACATCGGGCTCCCTGCTTGGCGGGAAGCCTGCTTCTCCCTCTCCCACTCCCTCTGCTTATGTTCCTGCTCTCGCTATCTCTCTCTCATTGTCAAATAAATAAATAAAATCTTTAAAAAAAAATAAAATAAAATGCTGTTTATTAAAAATTCAGATACAGTTTAGGTGGTTAGTAACAAAAATATAAAGGTAAGAAACTTCCAAATGACTAATAGCTTTACCCTCCCGATAACCAGTCAGACCCAAAGTCCTGTTAATTCTTCTTTGAAAATGTTTCCTAGTTCCATTCCATAGTCACCATCAAAGATACAAATAGATAAGAGAAAAGGAAAGATTTTCATCTCTGACCTTTTCCTTTCTCACATTAAAAACAAAGGACAACTTCATCCTCCAAGTTACAGTGACTCGAATTATATGTTAACCAATGCTGTTTGACCTGCCACCCTCCAGCTGATGACACTGTCCCCATATATATGGACTTTGTTAGAAAGGTATGTCTCCTATTCATTTCAAGCCCTTCCATATCATGACTGGACTATTACAGGACTCTCCCATTTGTTCTACATAGCTTTTTTTCCTTATTATCCCTATCTTTTCTCTTTTTTGTTGTGTGATTGCCCTTTATAAAATATTATTTCATTATCTGACTTGTCTCCTTAGGAATCTATACTGGATTATGAACCATTACACAACACATCTAAATTTCTACACCTGTCACTTAAGACCTCCATAAATTGGCTCTAAGCTACCTACCCAATGTCATACCAGTCCTCAAAATGATCCTTTTTTCTGGTGATACCAGTTTCCTTACTGTCCCTAAAAGCTCATTCTAGCTTTTAAAAATTCTGTGGTTTTGCCTAAAATATACCCCTCAAAATTTCTTACTTCTCCGCAACCCTTCTTTTAAGACTGAACACAAGTTTTACTTCTTTTATTAAGTCCTAACTTACAACTAGGTAGATACATAAATTCAGAAGATCTAATGCACAGCATAGTAAGTATAATCAACAAATCTGTTTTATAAGCTTCAAAGTCACTAAGAGACTAGATCTTAATTATTCCTACCACAAGAAAATGATAATTATGTGATAGTGATCAAGGTATTAGCTAATTCTATGGTGGTCCTCATATCGCAATATATTTATGTGTCACATGAACATGTTGTACATCTTAATCTTATACAATGTTATATGTCAATTATATCTCAAAAATAAGATAAAGTCTCCTCTATGTCCAGCCCATGCTGACTTCTGCCCTTTCCGATTTCTCATAGTGATTATCATGTCTACCAAATAATGTAGCATTTCATCAGTCATCCCTTCATGTTCTTTTCTAATTGTTTCCCAAACAATTCTTATCTCTCTTAACTGGACTTCCTTGAAGGCAGAGGCCATATTTTTTAATATTAGCTCTTGTATCTCTCACGCTATCCAGCTAACGATGGGCTCTCACCAAATTCTCACTACTTGAGTGATGGACAATGTAGGACAAAGCTGTGGAATATCCTAGAACTGGAAGTGAAATTGCAACTAAAAGAATCCCAACACATTGAAACTAGAGAACTGGTTTTCTAATGCAAAGAGCCTTTCATAGTCATAGCCTTTTTCACATTCATGGCATATAAAGAAAATTTTAATATTTCTGTGACAAAGTGGGTGACCAACTGGGCTCCTCAGCCACTGTAGAGGCTGAGAGCATCAGTTTCTCAGTATTCTTAAAATCTACAGTACTCTCATAACAAGCTCTAATCTAAGTGACTTCTGATGTATAGCATGGTGACTACAGTCAAACACACTCTATTATATATTTGAAAGTTGCTGAGAGTAGATTTTTAAAGTTTTTATCACAAGAAAAAAAATTTTTTTAATTATGTATGGTGATGGGTGTTAACTAGACTTATTGTGGTTACCATTTCACAATACATACAACTCTTGAATCACTGTGTTGTATACCTAAAATGAATATGTTATATGTCAATTATATCCAAGTAAAAAAAATGACTAATAAAAAAATGACTTCCGCTAAGTATCAATGGCAAAAAAAAAGTTTGTGTGAAATATTTGAAGTATCATTAGCCAATAAAAAGCATAAAGTGTATGAGATAAAAGGAATTAAAGGAAAGAAAAAGTCTTGGGGGAAGAAAGTAACTGAATCTGTCATACACACATACACAAAAATTCTAAGTTACTAGAAGTTCTTCTATTAAAAAATATTTTCACCCATTCATTGACTTGACTGCACTCCCCTTGTACTACTTCATGGTCTGTATTCTGTTCACTACAGTACCTGTAATAATTCTCGACACTCTCCAGACTTGGAATGTTGAATGCATCTAATTAAAAAGAAAAGAACAATGAATCACTAAATTCTACTCCTGAAACCAATATTACACCATATGTTAACAACTAGAATTTAAATAAAAATTTGGAAAAAAACAAAAAACAAAAAAAGCACATGGGAAAAAAAAAGAGCAAACATCATCTATATTAAAAAGAAAAATACAAACATCCTAATGACTAAAGAAAAATGACAATATTTTCAATAACATCTCTAAATGGCAGAATGCCAATAAATTAGCCTGATAGTTTTTAAAACTTGATAACAGAATTCAGATTATCTGGAAACTAATTTAAGGCACCCCATATACTGGAGAATAAGAAATACTTTGATATTATGTACTATTCAGAATAAATCAATTTGCCGTTGTAAGACTGGACTGTTGATGCTGTTTTAATCATGACTGATACATGGATCCATGCCAAGTGTTTCTAAACAGCTAATCACTTTGATAACAGGACCTAAGACCCTCTCTTCTTAAATCTTAAAGAGATTCAGTAAGAAAGGAGTTATATAATGGTAAGGGGTAAGGTAAAAGATGTCATAGAACACTTATCTGGAAATATAATTATTTCATTGAGCTTGATTGCCTGCTTGCAATAACTAAAATTATTTACCAGCTTGGAATTCCAAGAATCCACTATATTTCTTTTTTTTTTTTTAAAGATTTTATTTATTTATTTGAGAGAGAGAGAATGAGAGAGAGCACATGAGAGCGGGGAGGGGCAGAGGGAGAAGCAGACTCCCTGCCGAGCAGGGAGCCCGATGCGGGACTCGATCCTGGGATTCCAGGATCATGACCCGAGCCGAAGGCAGTCGCTTAACCAACTGAGCCACCCAGGCACCCAAGAATCCACTATATTTCTAATAACTTCAGAGAATAAGCTGTTAAGTCCAATTTAAGCCAAAAGAACTTATTGTGTATGCAATCCTCTTACTAAGAAAACTACACTGTTATAGTTAAATCTTAATAAAAATTAGTTTCCTCCTATCTTAACACAATATATAAACATATATATACACACATACTATAAGCATTTGTGCTTATACAAGTCAAATTAGATTATCATGACCTCCAAAGGACAAGCTCTGTTCACAAGATCTCATCACAAGAGTCTGATATTTATTACTTGAAATAAGTCAGTAGTTTGGCTTAGTCAGTAGATTGACTAATGCTGTTAAAAAATAAACTTTTTTATTATGTACAGACTTGCTTTTATTGCAAAAGAATTTGACCTGTACCACCAATTAAGATCAGGAAAAAAGGGAAATGTAAATTCAGATCTTCCTCAACTTACAATGGGGTTATGTCCAGACAAATCCATTTTAAGTGGTAAATATTTAAATAGAAAATGCATTTCATACACTGAACCTACTGAACATCAGAGCTTAGCCTTGCCTACGTTAAACATGCTCAGAATGCTTACATTAGCCTATAGCTGGGCAAAATCATCTAACACAAGGCCTGTTTTATAATAATGTGTTGAATATCTCATGTTGAATATCTGAGAGTGAAAAACAGAATGATAGCCTGGGCACAGAATAGTTATAAGGTTAATGGCTTTTTACCCTGGTCATTGTGTCCAGCATAACCAGAGTTTCATATTGCATATTGTTAGCCCAGGAAAAGATAAAAATTCAAAATTCGAAATATAGTTTCTATTGAATGTGTATCAGCTTCATACACTGTAAAGTTGACAAATCGTAGGTCAAGGGGTGCCTGGGTGGCTCAGTCGGTTAAGCGACTGCCTTCAGCTCAGGTCATGATCCCAGAGTCCCGGGATGGAGCCCCGCATCGGGCTCCCTGCTCAGCAAGGAGTCTCCTTCTCCCTCTGCCACTCCCTCCGCTCATGCTCTCTCTAATCTCTCTCTCTCACTTGCTCTCTCTCTAATAAATAAAATCTTAAAAAAAAAAAATCGTTGGTCAAACCATCATAAGTTGAACCATCATAAGTTCAGGATCAGACTTACAGGGTATACCAGAGAAAGCTGTAAGCCAGATATCCCATCATCAATTAATAATTCCTAGCTGCTTTGTAAGAACTATTTATAAAAAGGGCATTTTCTGATCAAACCAAAACTATGTATTTCACCAGATAGAATTATCTGTTTAAAATGATAGTTTTAGAAATATATATAATTAGGCACACAGCAGCAATTAATAATCAAATGAAGCAGACAAAGTACTTAACAACCAATAAGAAAGTCAACCTTTATAAAACAAACCTGTTAGGACACTTTGCTGAAGAGTTCATTTCCTTACTAACAAGACAATAATAATGTAAAAAATGTGAAGGGATTATCCATTTCTCCCCTCATACATAGAGATTTATTTGCAATTTTAATTTTTTAATGTATACACAGTAAAATTCATTCACTGTAATGTATAGTTCTTTGGGTTTTGACAAATGCACAGTCATGTATCCACTGCAATGGAGATACAGAACAGTTACATCATCCCAAAGTTCTCCCATGATGCCTCTTTGTAGTCGGCCTATCCCCCCACCCTCAACCCTTGGCAACCACAATCTGTTCTTTATAGTTTTGCCTTTTCTTGAATGTCATATAAATGGAATCATACAGTATATAGACTTATGGGTGGTGGCTTCTATTAGCAAAATGTATATCTATCAATCTATATATATGTATTTGTGTATGCAGTGTGAATGTATATACGTATGGACTGATTGTTTGTAGGCTCCACACCCAATGTGGGGCTTGAACTCATGACTCTAGATCAAAGGTTGTGTGCTCTACCAACTGAGCCAGCAAGGCGCCCAAAATGGTTATATTTTTAAACACCCTCCTACATAGGTTTTGCTAGAAGCTTTTCTTCATGTAAAGAAGAAATGACCATCCCAACTTTCCCCTCAAAGGCTTAAAGTGACATCTGAAGCTTTAAAATCACATAATATAGTTGTATTTCAGAGTTGTGGCCTTCAGTCTAACTAAAACTATGTTACAATGTTCCCATTTTATAATTTTATATTCTAAATTGGAGAATCTAGGCTCTTGAAGGGGAAAAAATCTAGTTTTAATTATATGTGGGTCTTGACTCTTACCATGATTTCCTTTAACATCGAGCCACGTCGTTTTTTCCATGACCCTTGTCTTCTTCAGAATACCCTGGTAAGTTTGCCATTCTACCTCATGCTGCCTGGATCCCAAGTGTTCCTTTGTTTTGGCATCAGTCAGGTCTCCTGTAGATTTACATAAGACTTGAATCACAATGCAAAATAAACCCAAGGGGTTAAAAATGTTTTTAAATGCACACTGAAGGAACAAAGATACTTAAGTACTCAACATGTACAAGCATAACAACTTGTAAGTCCATCTATGTCCAGAGCAAGCCCTATAAAATGAGATTTTCTTGGCAAAGACTTTCTCATAGGTTAGCAAGTACCTATTTAACTTCCCATGGTATTAGAAATGGGTTCTGAAAAAAATTATCTTTAAAGAGAGCAGTACAAAATGCATCGTGAAACTCTGACAAAAATACAAACTATAAGAAATTCCAACACTCTGGGCAGATGCCTGATATCTATGACAACCATATTTTCCACACCCAAAATCAGGTTATGTAATCTGGCCAAGTGTTATTTCTACAGCAAGAAGTAATCTAGAAGGTGTGGTTGGTCAGTGAAATACCAAAATTTCTGGAAAACTAAACGGAAAGTTGAAATGGAGGTTTTCCATAACATAAGGACTGATAATCCATCATATCAGCAGAGGTGTTTCAGTAAGGTGGGTAGGATATGAATCCCCCAATAAACATGGCAGATGCTCCTTTACTTTTTCTACAATGCATTTAGGGAGCAAATAGAAGTTTGAAGACTAGAGAACCCAAGTCACAGAAGTACCAAAAGATGAAGAAAAGTGTCCTAAGTCACTTTAAGCCTCAAACAATTGACAACATAAGATTGACTAATGCTGTTTAAAAAAAGGGGGGGGAGTTAGTTTTTTTAAAAAAGATAACTTTGGGGGCACCTGGGTGGCTCAGTCGGTTAAGCCTCCCACTCTTGGTTTCAGCTCAGGTCACGATGCTCTGCTTGAAATTCTCTCTCTCCCTCTGCCCCTCCCCCCTCAAAGAGAGGAAAGAAAAAGAAAGAAAGAAAGAAAGAAAGAAAGAAAGAAAGAAAGAAAGAAAGAAAGAAAGAAAGAAAGAAAAGAAAAAGAGAAAGAAAGAAAGAAGAAAAGAAAAAGAAAAAGGAAGGAAGTTAGGAAGGAAGGTAGGTAGGAATTAAGAAAAAAACTTTATTTGTGGTTAAAGGGCTTTCCCTAATTCTCTCTCAAATCCAGAACTATAACAACAACGACGAACGAATACAAACATAGCAGACGGTATGTATACTAATGAGAATCATGAGCCTTGCTTCTACTGCTTTGACAAAACCTTGCTATGGCAAGTCATTTAGCTTGGATCTTGATTCAATTATCCATAGGCAAAGGAAATTACAATGTTCCATCTTCTCTACAGGAGGACTCACCTGGAGCTGGGGCTATAGTGTTCCCAACATGCCCGAAGTGAAAAGCTGCAGCCCTGCCTAGCATTCTACCATCCGGACCACAGAACAACGCGACAGCACGGCAACCCTCCCTACCTGTTGCCAGGACGAGAGCTGGTTGAATGATGCCAATAGTTTCTGAACAGAACTTCTCTAAGTCTACAGCTCTGCCTGGATCACGAAACCTGCTCAGGTGAATGTCGGATATCTGCCGAAAGCAGGTATTAAACAGAGATATCTGAGTCAGGAAGAGGCAGCACGGACAGCAGGCGACCAGGCAGCTCTCTCGAGGCGGAAGGAAATGGCAAGGATGCAGTGCAAGAACGAACCCCCCTTCCCCCCCCAAGGAAAGGACAGAGCCCCCAGCCGGGAGTTTGGGTCCGCGGCGGTCGCACCCCGGCGGAAATTGCCCGCGTCTCACCGCGTAGTGACGCCTCTGCACCCACCCCAAACCCTGCTCCCGCTGCGTCACCTGCAGCCCCCAGAAGATGTTGCTGGCTCCGGGGCCCGGTGCGGGGTGTGGGCTCCGGGAGGCGCGGGGTTGGGGCAGCGGCGAGGGCTGACCGGCCAGGCCATAGTGCTCCAGGAGCACGGCCGCCAGCGCCGCTGCCGCCAGCCCCACGACCACCCTGATGGCCAGCATTGCGGCCATTCGGCCTGCCCGGGCGCTGCCCTCGCTGTCCCGGGCTCTGCCCGTGCGGCGCCCCCGGGAGCTGCTCTGGCCGCACTTCCGGACTCTATGGTCGCAGGGGCCTAAAGCTCAGCTCGGCCGCCGCCGCCGCCGCCGCACCTGCACCTCGTCGGGCACCTGCCACCCGCCTGCCGCCCGCGTCTCTGGGCTGGGGTGGAAAAAGGAATGAAGGTGAAATAAAGGAAACCGAGACTCCCAGCACCAATCAAGGTTGCCGAGGAGTGGCGGGGAAAGAACCCAGGTCCGGGAGGCGGAGTCCTGGCTCCGCCTTAGTCAATCATTGCTGACCCCAGTGGGTCAGTTTCTTACCCATAAAACGGAGCTAATGATGTCTCGCGTGCGTACTTCACAGGCTTGTGAGAATCAAAGTATGTATGAGGACGCCATTTAAATTCCTGTTCAGATGTGACAGCCGGCTTTCTCTCGGCCCTTCTGATTATTAACAACGTGTTTCCATAGGTTTTTAATAGATATAGTACGTATGTTTTGTAAAGTTATTTTTTCCTAAACCTGATTTCTTACGCACTTGCCTATATAATATCCCGTTGCCTGGGCGCCTGGGTGGCTCAGTCGTTAAGCGTCTGTCTTCGGCTCAGGTCATGATCCCAGAGTGCTGGGTTCAAGCCCCGATTCCTGCTCCCCGCTCAGCGGGAAGCCTGCTTCTCCCTCTTCCCCCCGCCCCCTGGTGTTCCCTTTCTCGCTGTGTCTGTTAAATAAACCTTTAAAAAAAAAGAAATCCCGTTGCCACGTTATACCGTTCATTTAATAAACTGTAAATACTCCCTATGGGCAGTCACAGGAGAAGAATTAGATTCGGGTCCTGCCCTTAATTTATCTAACCATTCTGTTATTGTTGAACTTTTGGATTACTTATGTTCGGAATGTTCTGAATAAACATTTTTGAATAAACATTCTGAATAAACATTGCTGTTCTGAAAAAAACATTTTTTGTACAAATAGCACCCTTTTAAACACATCTTCGAGTTATTTTCTTGGGATATGTTGTCAATATTGAAGTTACACCAATTTCATTAAAATACTTTTTGTGTACATTTGGAAAGCAAGACATTGATCTAAGCAGAAAATATAAAGAAACATAAGTAGCTAAAGAACCATGGTTCATTATCTTAGAAGCCTATGTAGGAGAGAGAAATACATAAGTAAGTTTAATATAAGACCAATATGCCATTTGGCACAAGAGACAACAAGATATAAAAGGCCAGAGGAGGTTTACCCAGGACAGATCACATCTATAGAATCAGGAAAAGTTTAAGGAGGTGGCATATAGTAGATGGATAGTATTTTTGAGTGGCAGGGATTGGGGATGGGGTAGGGGGAAGCACTTTCCAACAGTACCTAACATGAATCAAAGCATTAAGGTGCGAAAATGTAGGACATGATGAGGAGACAGTGAGTACTTCAGTTTGTCTAGGCCTAGGGCATGCCTAGAGGAATAGTGGTAATTGTACCAGACCTTTAGTTTGAGCCACATTTTGGAAGGCCTGTATAAATGCCAAGAGTGAAGATAGACCTGGCAACAGCATAGGGAACCAACTGGACAGAGGACAGGTATGGCAGAGACTCCGGTTGGAATGATATTGGGATAATCTAGTGCTATGGTCCAAATGTGTCCCCACAAAATTTATATGTTGAAATCCTAATACTCATTGTGATGGTATTTAGAGATGGGCTCTGCCCTTGTGAACAGAATTAGTGCCTTTATAAAAGAGACCCTAGAGAGATCCCTCACCCCTTCCACCATGTGGGGACACAGTGAGAAATCAGCAATCTGCAACCTGGAGGAGGGCTTCAGCAGAATCAAATCACTCTGGCTCCCTGATTTTAGAATTCCAGCCTCCAGAGCTGTGAGAAATAAACTGTTGTTTACAACCCAGTCTGTGATGTTTTATTTTAGCAGCCCAAATAGACTGAGACTCCAGGTAGGGGGTAACTGCAAAGTCCTGAAGAAAGAAGATGGGAGAGTGTAACACTGAGATTACAAAGGAAGGATCAGATGTAAAATAATTGTGAAGACCGAAACTACAGATTTTGACAGCTGATTGGATATTTGAGGGAAGAAAAAAAGATAGTTAAAAGTTAGTGCCAAAATTTGGAAACCAAGTGACAAAAATACTACAGCTATGATGTATGTGTGGAGAGCACTGTCCATATGAATAAAGTTTTTGGTTTTGTCTAATATTGCACTAGAAAAATATCTGTATGGATACCTCTAAACCAAATTTGGAAGATATGTTTGAGATGATCGGATTTAAAACATAAGCAGTATGGCATATATGATAATGCATTTGGAGCAGTATGGCATATATGATATGCCTTAGAGGAACTTTAAAAATATGAGAATTATTTTCCAGAAATGGGATACAACAAGAATCTGCGTGATAGATGATAGGAACAGACATGCTATTAAGACATTTTGGAATTAGAAACATGGTTTTAAGTCACAAAGGCCAGCAGTCTGGATTGCAGACGCTGAATTGTAACCAAGCTGCTTCACTCATAGTGTTCATAGTGAGTAGAAACAGGAATTATTTATTTAATGATGGTTAATGATTCTTCAGGGAATACAGCTAATACACCACAAATCATCCTACAAGGTGATTCTCAGTTCCTAATAGCCAAAGGGGAAAGGTAGATATCTTGTTATCTCATAAAGAGAGCAAGCAGGACTGCACCATGAAAGCAAAATATCCTAGAACTAAAGTCAAGAGAGAATGTATCATTGGGGCATTTCACAAACAATGGACATTGTCATCAACAGTCATAAATTGAACTATGTGATTCTCATAAACATGTAGAAATTATCTTCAGATTACTATTTCTTATACTAACTTTGTTTAAAAATCAAAAAATATGGGGCGCCTGGGTGGCTCAGTCAGTTAAGCATTAAACTCTTCATTTTGGCTCAGGTCATGATGTCCGGGTTGTGAGACTGAGCCCCACATCAGGTTCCATGCTCAGTGCAGAGTTTGCTTTAAATTTTCTTTCTCTCTCTCCAACCCTTCCCCCTCTTGCACGGGCTCTCTCTTTCTCTCTCTCAAATAAATAAACCATTTTTTAAAAATCCAAAAGTACAGTATTTAATCATTGTTCTGTGAAGTTATTTCTGTGGACAGCTAAAGTAATGTAATCAAAATAGCTTTTTGTGTATGTAAGGATTTTTAAATTTCAAAATTGTGATATATATAAAACTGACCATCTTACCCATTTTTATGTATATAATTTAGTGCCATTAAGTACATTCACATTGTTGTGCAACCATCATCACCATCCATCTCCAGAACTCTACAGCATCCCAAACTAAAATGCTGTACCAATATTGGTGCCTCATCCTCTCCTCCCCACTCCCTAATGAATGTTTTCACCCATGTTATAGCATGTGCCAGAATTTCCTTCCTTTTTAAGGCCAAATAATATTTCATTGTATAAATAGGGGTGCCTGGTTGGCTCAGTCGTTAAGTGTCTGCCTTCGGCTCAGGTCATGATCCCAGGGTCCTGGGATCGAGCCCCGCATCGGGCTCCCTGCTCCGTGGGAGGCCTGCTTCTCCCTCTCCCACTCCCCGCTTGTGTTCCTGCTCTCGCTGACTCTCTCTCTGTCAAATAAATAAAATCTTTTTAAAAAAATATTTCATTGTATAAATATACCACATTTTCTTTATTCATTCATCTGTTGATGGACATGTGGATTATTTCCACTTTTTGGCTATTGTGGATGCTGCTACTATGATCATTGGTAGGTACCAGTTTTTCAGCTTTTTAGGGAGCACTCCATTCACTCCTTAGGAAAACAAATTTGAGGAGAATTTCATCTAGGTAAGTTAAGGCTCTGTATAAGGAACCTGAAACACGAGCATAAGTAAGAAATCACAGATCAAGGAAATTCTCGCACATGCTATAATATGATGAACCTTGAGAACATTACACCAGTAAAATAAGCCAATCATAAAAGTACAAATACTGTATGATTCCACCTATATGAGGTACTGAGAGTATTCAAATTCACAGAGACAGAAAGTAGAATGGTGGCTGCCAAGGGCTAGAGAGAGGGGGAAATGAGGAGTTAAGGTTTAACAGATACAGGTGGCACCTGGGTGGCTCAGTCATTAAGCGTCTGCCTTCAGCTCAGGTCATGATCCCAGGGTCCTGGGATCGAGCCCCACATCGGGCTCCCCGCTCCGCGGGAAGCCTGCTTCTCCCTCTCCCACTCCCACTGCTTGTGTTCCCTCTCTCGCTGTGTCTCTGTCAAATAAACAAAATCTTAAAAAAAAAAAGTTTAATAGATACAGATTTTCAGTGTTGCAAGATGAAAAAGTGCTGTAGATGGATGGTGGTGATGGCCGCACAACAGTGTGAATGCATTTAATGCCACTGTACACCTGCGTTGGGCTCCCTGTTCGGTGGGGAGCCTGCCTCTTCTTCTCCCTCTGCCACTCCCCTAACGTGTGCTCTCTCACTCTCTCTCTCAAATGAATAAATAAAATCTTTAAATATATATATACTAAATTAAAAAATAAATGTGGCAAGCTTGATCTTAGGTTACTATTAAAATGATCACTATTTAGGGGCGCCTAGCTGGCTCAGTCAGTAGAGCATGTGACTCTTGATCTTGGGGTTGTAAGTTTGACCCCACATTGGGTGTAGAGATTACTTAGAATCTTTTTAAAAAACACGAGCACCATTTATATGTCATTTTATGGTTGAGTAAAAGAAACAATGATCACACAGCCACTTTGGAATGAGGCAATCACGACAAGTTTGGATGACATTAAATCCATTCTTTACATGTGTTTAAATATATAAGATAGATGGAAAAACAAGTTATAGGGTTGTCAGCTTTCACATTCCTGAGATACAAATGCTACTTTGCCATCCCTGCAATGAAGCATGAATCCAAAAGCCTTAAAAAATGCAGAGAACTAATACCCTCATCAAAAGTTAGGGAAAGCACCAAACTCAGTAATTAAAATGAAAACTACC